GTGTGTGTCCTGTGATGGACTGGTGTGAATTTGTATGTGTGTGTGGAGGGGGGTGTTCGTCTATATACGGACAAAACGGTGTGATCTGGGGAATTTCTGCGTTTACCTCCATCATTTTCAATTCAGTTTTCAATTCCAGGCTTTATTGTCCCCTGGGGGAAATGTTTTTTTGACGGCACGGTCAAACACAACATGTCGGACGCGGTACTGGTGATTAACTGCGACCGCAACTAGTCTCTTGGGTGATATTTCGTTGTTATTGTTGTTGTTGTTGTTTGGCGCTCTGTAGGAGGTTGGCGTGTCAAGACCTGCTCGGATCTGAGCGCAAAACTACTGCTGACATCCTGTGACTCCAGACCACAGGAGCCTTTACGTGTGCTCAGGCTGCACTCCCCCCAAAACCGCAACTAACGGTCAGCGAGCAGAAGCACTTGTAGGCGTTGTGAAGTGTTAGTAGACCATCGATCTGTTAGCAGTAGCTGCGGGTTTTCAACGTGTTGCTACGCCATATCGAGCCCCCTGTTTACGGCTCTGGTGCTGTCGTGGGCTTCCGCCTACGCGACACGCCCACCAGCGCCCGCCCCGCCCACTCCCGTCGGGAGGCATTGATTGGCCGACGGAGCCGACGTAAACACGCCCCCCCTCCTCCTCCTCCTCCTGCCCTCTGGCCCCTCCCATCTCCGTTCAGGAGTTGTCACAAACTGCTCGGGCGTGCGAGACGGAGGCATACAGAAAGCCAAGAGCCTCTATCTGATTAAATACAGCTTATTTCCTTATTGTTCCCGACCCCAATGTACTCAGACCATCCTGCATCTGCACTGGACCGGACCGGACCGGACCAGAACGGAACGGCACACAAGTGCGGTGCTCACGGACTACAAGACCGGGGCGTGAAAGAACTACATTTCCCGGGAGGCACCGAGCCCACAAAAAGTGGGGACCGCGTTTTGTCTCCTTTAAACCTTTTCCAGCCAAAGCGTAGTGTAAATTAAGATTCATACGTCTTTAGTTTAATTCATGGGCAGTCTGTTTTGAAATCCGCCTGGTATTTGGTCTTCTGTAGAGCATAAATGTCTGTACTGTGATGAGGTGCCACCTTGTGGACAAAGACAGGAAGTACTCCGTAGGTACACTCTTCAGACCGTGTGCTATTATAGATTATT